GGCTCGTCCGCCTCGACGAGCAGCGCGGCGGCGCCCGGGATGTGCACTCTGCGAGGCGCGCTGCTCCGGCTACCCGCCGGGCGCCACTCCCCCCCGGAGAGTGAGACGGCGGCGGAGAGCCCGCGCCTGCTAAGTCACCATTCCGGATGACCAGAGGAGTGCCTCGCCATTGCCGGCGGCGGAGAGCCCGCGCCGCAGATCGGCGAGCGCCTCGTCGCGCAGCAGGCAAGTGAACTGCGCCGGAGCCCGCCCGAGGAGCGGCCCGAGCGATGCGAGCGCACCGCGCGGCTTGTCGGCGCCGCCGCCGCCGCCGCCGCCGCCTCCGCCGGCGTGCCCGCCGGCGGCGTGCGCGAGCTTGAGCAGCGCGAGCAGCTGCGGCGGGTCCGAGGCGACAGAGGCGACGGCGACCGACATCGGGTCGCTCCCCTCCTCGCCGGCGTCCGACGCGGCGGGAGCCGGCGGGCGCGAGAGAAGCAGCAGCGTCGCCTGCCGCATCGCGAGCCGCGCGAGGCCGAGCTGCAGCGGCATCACCGCCCGCCGGCAGAGGCTCGCCGCTGAGAGCGGCACACCGCCTAATGGATGGCCCACCGTGCTCGAGCATGAAGCCTTCGCCCGGCTCGCCGCTGATAGAGGCACGCCGCCGTCGCCCGACGCTGGGGCGAGCCGCGCCGTGGCAGCCGCCTCAGGCACCGACAGCTCCGCGGCAGACGCGCGCAGCAGCAGCGGCGCGTCGCTCGCCTCGCACTTTGTGAGCAGCGTGACCGCCGTGCCGTACCCCGCCTCCGCCTGCTCACGCGGCACGCAGCTGTGAAGAGGCGCCGCTCACACCGCGCACCGCACCAGCCGCGCCCCGCCCCAGCCTCGTCGGCGACGCCTTCGGCGGGCGCGTCCACCGCCACCACCAGCCCGACCTCCCCGCCCGGCAGGCGGAGGGGCGAGCCGGCGACCAACTCGAGCGCCGACAGCGGCGGCAGATGCGCCGGCGCGCGAGGCGCCTCGCCCTCGCCGAGCTGCCGCGCCTCGCCGCCGCCCGCGCCAGCCACGTGCGATGCAAACGCCCCCCCGCCGGAGGGGCTGCCGGACTGCAGCGGCTGCGGGCTGCTTCCGCCGCCGCCGCCGCCCGCGCGGACGGCGGCGGAGGCGGCGGCGGCGGTGGCGGCGGCCTCGTACCCATAGTCCATGGCGGCCAGGTTCGCGGCCGGGACAAACTCGCCTACTCAACGGCGACTTCCTCCCACGTCTTCGAGCGGGTCGGAGAGTGCGTGGTGGACGAGGCCCGGGCGGGCTCGCCGATGCGGGCGGCGGCGCCGGCGGCGCCGGAAGGGAGGCCGCTGCTCTTGCTCGGCGCGGGGCGGGGCACCTCCACGCGGAAGGACTGGCCCGGCCGGATCCCCTGAGGCAGCACGGTGCGGAAGCGCCGCCCCGCCTGGTCCTGCACGAGCACCGACTGGCCGGGCGCCACCGGAGCACCGCCCGCCGGCCAGGTCACGGAGAGGGTGATCGAGCCGCGCGGGGCGTCGGGCTGAGCGTCGCGCCCGGCCGGCGGGGGCATGATGAACCTGGGGAGGGGGCCGGGCAGCTCCTCACCAGAGTGGCCGGCGTGTGTCCTCGGCCGGCGGCGGGAGGACACTTCCTAGACACTTCCTAGACACTTCCTAGGCAACAGACCGCGCACTCGGCCGGCGGCCGTGAGTGCTCTGCCGACCGAGGCCGGTCGGCACCCCCCGTCCCGGAGTGTCTAGGAAGTGTCTACGAAGTGTCTACGAAATGTCTAGGAAGGTACCCACAGCCGTCTGGGCCGACTGCGGGCGCCCCGTCGAGCCTCGTTGCCGCCGCCAGCTCGCCGAGGCGGTCCGAGGTGAGCCCGCTCTCCCCCCCCGCCGCCTCCCCCTCCGCACCGCCCCCCTCCTCCCCACCCCCCTCCCCCTCCTCCTCTCCGTCACTGGCGGGCATCGGCGGCGGCTCCTCATCACCCGCCTCCTCCTCCCCCTCCGCCGCCGCCGCCGCCACGTCCATCAGCCAAGAGACGGCGGCGTCGGGGTTGCCGCGGCTCAAACGCAGCGCCTTGTTGGCTCACCGCGAAGCGTCGATGCCGAGAGGAGCCGGGAGGAGCCGTCAGGAGCCGAGAGGAGCCGAGCGGAGCCGAGAGGAGGCGAGAGGAGCCGAGCGAAGCCGAGAGGAGGCGAGAGGAGCCGAGCGGAGCCGAGAGGAGGCGAGAGGAGCCGAGCGGAGCCGAGAGGGGGCGAGAGGAGGCGAGAGGAGGCGAGAGGAGGCGAGCGGAGGCGTCGCCTTGTGGCACACAGCTGGCGATGCGTCGATCCCGAGCTCTGCCACGTTCTGCGACAGCGCGTACGCCGCCTCCCACCTAGTCGCGTGCCCAGCCACACTACTCACCCACCACCACCCAGCGGTGGGAGGACGCACGCAGCCGCGCGCCGCGATGACCGCCCGAGCCGCGGCGTCGGCGGCGGCGGCAGCGGCGGCGGCGGCGGAGAGGAGGGGAGCGCGGCGCCTGCGCCCTGCGGCGACGGCGGGGCGGCGACGGGGCGGGGCGGGGCGCCGTCGGCGCGGGTGGAGGATTCCATCGCGGCGACGAGGCGCGCGAAGCGCGCGAAGCCCTCGTCCACCTCGTCCGGCGAGGAGCGGCGCCCGCTCGCCTCCCTGCCGCTGCCACTGCTCCTGCCGCTGCGCGTCGCCGACGACGTTGAATCGAAGCTCGCCCGCTCCGCCTGCTCGCAGCTTGCCTGCGTGTCGCCGCTGCACCTCTCTCTTCCTCGCAAGGAGCCGCCCCTCGCCCCCTTCTCCGCCTGCGCGTCCTCCGCCGCCGACCCGTCCGCCGCGCCAGAGCCGCCCGACAGAAGCGGGAGCGACGGAGACTGCGAGCGGCCATCGAGCAAGAGAGTCGCCTGGGCGCGAGAGGAGCCCGAAGATGGCCCGAGACTGTCCCGAGGTGAGGGTGGGCCGCGACGCACCTTGCAAGCAGCAGCGGCGGTGCGCCGAAGGTCGGCGCGAGAGAGCTGCCTCCAAACCCGGCGGGAGAAACTCGTTCATGAGCTCGAGCGATCTGCGGCGCGAGCTGGCCGGCGCTGGGTCGCGCCAGCGGGGAACAGGTAAGTAAGGCGGCATCGACGCTGAACGGTCACGAAACCCACCCCACCACGCTGAAAGACCACCGGCCAGTTGACGACACACTCCCAGGCGCCCGCCGATGAAGCTGGGAGGATGTATGGAGGAATGGTAATAGAGAGAGAGAGAGAGAGAGAGACTACAGCCCACCACAGACACACTCCCTCTCCACACGTGTGCACACACCCTCACCCTCTCCTCTCTCCTCTCTCTCTCTCTCTCCTCCCTCATCCTTGTCTGCTGTCTGCCTGACTCAGGCACTCAATCTGCCGATGCGCGATTGTGTGTGGGCTGCTCCGAGGGGGCCCTCTGTGCGATCCGACGGGTAGGGGGGCTGTGCCCGGGCGGTGTCCGGTGTGGAGTCCCCTTCTGATCCCGCCTGGGATGTTGGGTGTGAGGTTGTGGCGGCTTCGATCCCAAGGGGGGGAGCTGATCCCACTCAATAACCAACTCTCAGGGGCAGTAGGTGGGCGAGCTTCAGGCACGCTCATCTCGATCGTCAAGACGTTGCTACGCGCGGTCTTCCGCGGGGGGAGCTGCGTCGACGGGTGCGGGACCGCGGCGCAGCCAGTGCCGCGGCGAGGCCTCAAGGCACGGCTAGAGGAGAGAGAGAAGAATAGATGGATTGATTGATGGATAAAGCGCCTGTTCACGGCATTGAGGGAAAGCCACGTTTTCCGCCGATAACGATTGGGGTGGGGGCCCCAACTCGTGAAAGGCCACTAGTTACGAGGACTCACCTCCATGACACTTCCATCTTCTCCCCGGACCTCGCAGCTCGCCGCGTCTGGTTTTATTTATCATGGACGCTATGGCGTCTAGGACGCGCCTGTTTTTTACGCCTCGTTTAGCGAGCGCTCTGCATGGCAGCGTGCTCCTCTTTTGCTGACCGCCAGAGCGGCGGGAGCACAGATTTCTTTTCTTAGTGCGGAAAGAGGCCTGTGGCATGCAGGGCAGCTTCGATGACGTCTGTGGCAAAGCTGGGGAGGTCGAGTACCCCTCTGCGCCTTTGCGTCCTCACGCCACCACGCTCCTAAACGGGCGGACATCCGTCACCAAGAAAAGGGTGGTTGCTTGTCTGCGGCTGTGGGCGTGCTATAGCCTCGTTTTTGTCGGGGTCATGCTGTTGCTTGCCGGCCCCCCGATCAATACCACCCTCGAGTTCAGCACCCGCCTGGCTCGCTCTCCCTTAGTTACACCGTCACCGTCGCCGTTGCCGCCATCGCCGTCGCCGTTGCCACCGTCGCCGTCGCCATTGCCACCGTCGCCGTCGCCGTTGCCGCCGTCGCCGTCGCCGTTGCCACCGCAGTTGCCGCCGCCACAGCAGCCACCGCCGCCGCCATCCACCTCTCCCGCGCCGCCGCCAGGCTCACCGCCGCCCGCCATGTGGACGCTGCACGCCTCGACAAATTGCTACGCCGGGGCTGGCGCGGAGGACCTCGAGACACCGGGCGGAAGCTCATGTTGTACGCTTCCGTCGAGGGTGGACTGCTTTGCGCGGTGCGACGCGACGGCGGGCTGCGAGGCGGTAGTCGTCACGTCGACGGATCCGGTCCTTTGCTACCGTCGCCGCTCCGTGGACCTGTCGTCCTGCGCGCAGGGCGACGCTGGTTACGACACGCACGTCCGGCCCAGCACGCCGCGGCCAGCCCCTCCACCACCACAGCCGCCGCGACCGCCCAGCACGCCGCGGCCAGCCCCTCCACCGTCACAGCCGCCGCGACCATCTCAGCCGCCGGGGCCTCCTCTGTGTTCGGCGTACACCTCATCGCAGCCGCCGATGCCCGTATGTGAGCGCGGCGGTAGAAACTACTGGGCGGGCCCGCCTCACGGGCGCTTCGTGATGCAGCAGCGCCGATGGGAGCGGGTCAATGCGGAGCTCGGCAAGTCGTACACGCTGCTGCCGGTGACGCGGACGACCGACGAGTGGTCCCACAGCAGCGACAACGTTTGGATGTACTATGGCAGAGGCTGCTCGGACATAATGTGGTGCACGGGCCGCACGCTGGGCGGCGTGCACAAGCTCCACGTCGCAGCTGCACTCATGCAAGAAGACGAGCCCTCCTGCGATTTGGAGTGCGTGTCAACGTTCTTCGCGTCGTATTTGAGCGGCGCCGCAGGACAGCTGGGCATGAGAAGAGCGGACGTGAACACTGTCGCGGTGCGGCGTGCCCTCGACCACAAGACGGCTTGGTACAATGTCGATGCAGCGTTGGGATGGTACCGGATGACCTCGTGCGGTAACCTCCTGAATCTCTGGATGTATGCGGCGGCAAGGCGCCGAGGCTACGACAGCCTGCAGTTCTACGCGTCGCCAACCTGTCCCCCAGGTGGCGGGCGCTTCGCTTGGCACGCGGAGCTCGTGGACTTGCGCGAGCCTGGCACCAACGCGGTGACACAGACTCGCAGGGACGGGCCGTGGGTGCGGAACAACGTCTTCTGCCGCGGCGAAGCTTGCCGCCCGCCGCCCGCGTTCGACAGCCGAAATGTTGGCGAGTGCCTGTCGTGCCTCGGGTGCAGCGGGGCTTGTTGACCGTTGAGATTTTCATGCGTCCCTTTCGTAGTCCGCAGCGACGAGAAACTCGCGCGTCGGGCGTGTCCGCGACCGGCGGGGCGGGCCGGCGGGGCGGGCCGCCAGGATGCGAGGTTCCAACTGCCATTGCCGCAGTTGCGACCCGTTTAGCACCACACTCCTCTCCTTACCAACGTGGTAGGTAGGCAGGTAGAAAGGTGAAGAACAGTCTAAACGTGGTTTTGGCAACTACAAACGAAAAAAGAAAAACATTTTCGCCACACAGCCTCTCACCTTGGCCGCTCCAGCGCCCCCAAGGAGAACTGTGAGGTCAATCTCCGTTCTCTCAATCAACGAATCCGCAACGATGGTCGGCGTCCTCCGCTCCCTCGGCGCGCCCGCGCCTCTTGGCTTCCTCAACGGCGAGTGGCAGCGCCGCTGCGACTACGGCGGCCGCGCGCACTACAGCAAGGAAGCGGGCGCGGCCGGCGGCGCTGGTGCGGCAGCAGTGGAGCTGCACATCTTCTTCGACGGCGAGGGGTGGGCGATCGGCGCGCTTGGCAGCGGCCGCGGCGACGCCTACGCCTTCGCCGCGTCCGACGCGCTCCACCCCAACACAGTCGACAAGGAGGCGTGGCGGCTGCGGCTCGCGGGCGCGTCGTACCAGTCCTCCTCCTTCTTTTCGGTGCAGACGGAGGGTCCGAACAGCGAGGCGGAGCCCTTCTCGATGGAGGAGCTCGGCGTCGACTACTTCCTCCGCGCGCCCCCAAAGTCGCGCCGCGTCGTCTGGTTTGTCGACCCGACTAGCGACAAGGTGTGCGGAGCTTTCCGAGACACTTCCTGCTAGCAACACGCGCTTGCCAGAGGGCGGGTCGAGCCTCTGCCTGAGCCGTCGCGCCTCGGAGGCACTGCGGGCCACCCGTGCCTTCTCATGCCCTCCTGCCTTGCATACCCGCCAACCCACCCTCCCTCGCGCGTCTTCCTTCTCGCAGGGCACCGTGCTGCACTCTGCCGCAAAGAGCACGGCGGCGACGGGCGGAGGGGGGCGCGGGCAGCCGGGCAAGCGGTACTGCCACCTCTGCCACCGCTGCGTCTCCGCAAACAACTGGGTCTCGCAGCACCTCGCCAACACCCACCGCGCCGCCGCGCCGACGGGGCTGCTTGCCATCAGCACGGGCGACGAGAAGACCGTCGAGGTGCGGACACTTCCGAGACACTTCCGAGACACTTCCGAGACACTTCCGAGACACTTCCGAGAC